ACACTAAAATAAAACAATTCATTCTACTTAAATACCATTTATTGATCGATTAAAATATGTATAACACTGTGCACTATGCTTGTTGAAACACATGTAGGTATTAATGAATATTCGATAAGTTTCAAATGTACAATACTGTTATTTTATTATTTTCATTTTAAATTAACTAAAAATCGCGGGTTACTCACGTGGAAATACTGAGAAAACCTCTTTTTTTTAGCCGTTAAGAGGCGTTACAAGTGCGTTACCGGCCTTTTGGGGATTCGGAGTTTGAGGATTGTTTGGGATTGAGGAAAGGGGGGATTTGGGCCTACGGTAACCTCACTCACACGACGATACACAACTCAAGCGTAGCTCCACGTCGGTTTTCTGTGAGGCCGTTTCTACTACACCGCTCTACTGGTTTCGAGCCTCAGAGGGGCTTTTCCTTATGAGCAGGGTGTGCGATCGCGGCGATGTCGCGCAGCCTACTAATTAGTAGTTTCACGTGAATAACCCGCAATTTTTAGTTAATTTAATTTTAAATTATTATGTTTTCGGCTAACTCACGTAACAATTTGACGAGGAACTCGACTAGTTTCAAGCCATGCTAGAGGCTCGTATTCATGAGCGGCATTTCGCGACAGACGCGGCGACTGTCGCGCTGCTACTGTGGGTGAGTATGTGTGAGAAAGCCGAAAACATAATAATCTATTTAGTATGTCTCATGAAAGTTATAAATTTTATAATACAAATTTAATTTTAGTTTATTTAGTTTATTGTAAGGTGTAGGTAGGTAGATAGACCCACAATTTTATCTTGTTATTTAAGTTACAATACTTATATTTATTTTTATTACAATAGACACCGAAAAATATGTAATTTTCAAATTTTTTAAGACTTATTTTAGACAAGTTACGACATGCTTATTATTAAAGACGGTGTCAGCCATTTTATATTGTACTGTGACGTCACAATACTGTAAACAAACATTGATTTGCAATTTTCTACGACACACAACTAAAATGAAAGTTTTGCGTGTTGTATGTATATATATATATATATAACTAGCTTTTACCCGCGGCTTCGCACGCATCAAAAAAAGATAAAAAGCCTATGTGACATATGCTAATACACACAGCGCCATCTATACCAATAATTTCGTTTTCCCTCGAGAATACCAAATTTTTCCGGGATAAAAAGTAAACTATTATTTAATCCAGACTTCTAACTTTACGTCTGCAAAAGTTTAAAGCAATTGGTTCAGTAGTTACGGCGTTAAAGCGGAACAAACAAACAAACAAACTCACTTTCCGATTTATAATATTAGTAAGGATACTACTGAGCTTTGATAAACTCACACACAGAGTGACTAGATTAATTATATTAATAAAAAAAAACATATTTTAATACATATTATTTAAATAAAACATTTCATTTGTCCATTCAATCAGTAAGAATGAAGACAAAAATAATCACCACCAGTTACATACATATAAGACACGTATTTTTTAATGTTTTACTTATGGTAGTTTCCTAAATTTTATTTTAATGTCCGTCTGGTACATTAATTTAAAACTTTAGACACGTATTTTTTCTTTTCTCACAAAATTAAATACTTTCGACGATATATTGATTTGAAATGTCGTGTGACGTCACAGCGTGCTACAGAATATAGTACGTTATGACGTAACTACCTCCCACTCCTAAACTTGACGCCATTTTATCTAAGTATTGTAACTTTATACGAGAAAATAAAAAAATACGTGTCTAATATTTTTTCATTATCTAACTGACGGACTAATTAGATTTTTAATTTTCTTACTCTGGAAACTACCCAGTTATACAATACATACTATGATAATATTTATTAATACATATTTATATGTAAGTATACCATATTAAATAAGTTATAAATACCAGACTTTAAGCCAATTATCACATTACTTCACACCTCAGTACGATTCCTTTGTTTCCACCTCATCACAAGATAAGGCCATCCTTAATTTTTTTTTAATAAAAAAAAAATACGTGTCTATGCTCCACTAAATATATATATTTTTTTAAGTGGGGAAAATCATCGAATGACTGCTCCCGCCCGGGCGAGGCGGGAGGTAGTGTCAGACTCTTGCTGACTAAAAACCACCCCGTTCCTTCTCCTGCACGTCGAGCCGGAGCCCCGGTAACACGTTAGGTTCTCCGCGACAAAAATATTTATATTATCAGGGGCAGATTGAGCTTATACAGCGCCCTATGTAAGCAATTCATTGGCGCCCCCTAGTTTTTTGGCGCCGCCATCCGTATGGGCAAGCACCCGGTGCCCGGTGCCCCCCACCTGGCGCCCTTGACTAGTTTTCTATAGGGATAATAGGCTCTGGATATTTTTAAGAAACTATTCTTAAAGGTATTTATCTGTGTAAAAAAGAATCACACAGATACAATATTACTTGAAAATGGATATTACATTTGCACTGAACTCATTTGGGGTCATATCATATGTGAATACGACCCCAAACTACATGTTTTACGACCCCAGTTCAATTGAAATGGGGTGTTCAAAAATAAACCCTATTTATTCTTACTTCTTAGTAGCTTTTACCTAAAATTACATATAATAGAACGAATATACAAAAAATATTAATAAAATAATTTAGAAATAATAAAGCTTCAAATTTCCAATATGGCAGCCATCCGGAAAGGGGTCAATAATATTAAAATCACATTCATGTCATAAATAACTAAAACTTATTTCTAAGATTCCTCTTAAGAGATCAATTATCATTTTTCTTAACAATACCTAAATTATATTTAGAAGTCAAAAAAAATAAATTGATGTATAAACAAAATAAAGTAGGTATAAAATAAATAAACGACAACAATTTTGAGATCGAAAATACATCGTATTTGAAATACAGCATAATATCAAATTCGTATACACAGGCCACACATCAATCTATACAAAACCAGTTTATCCTGGTGTCACGTCGCATCATCTTTCCGCCCATTTAACGTTCAGTTTATACTGGTTATGTAAAGCTCGACATGTAGCCGTGTGTACAACTTATACCTTATTGATTGAAGGCATTATATCGCGTCTATAACCTGGCGCCCGTCTATAACCAGGCGCCTGGCGTCTTGTTTACCTTAGAGATAATGCGGCTCTGTGTAAACGGCATAATCGCATAGTAAAGTAACAGTAATACTAGCCTCCAAGAATAATATATTATTATCTCTTTTCGAGAGACGTACACTCAACGAAGTCATTCAGTACCTATGTAAGTAAGAAAACTGTTAGGTATATATATTTATGTGTTATCTATGGCAAGCTGGTCACTTTCAATAAGGAAACCTATTAATGTTTTTCTTTATACAATATATGAGTGTTTCTGACTAGCTTGTATAATTCACACGATAAATAATTATTGCATTATATATTGAAAATATATAACAAAAACAAAGATTGCTTCAGTACAGAGACAGTAGCTGTCGTTATACTGAATTGTACGCTTTGTAACTAACGTCTACGCAACCAATGGCTACTGTCTCTGTACTGAACCAATCTTTGTTTCCTTACCAGCAGCTGTAGCCAAATACCATTTAGCGCTTGTCTACATGTAGAATAGAAAACCAAATTATATGGAATTGATGTAAATTTTGACACTTGTCAGTGTCATCCCCATACATTTTGATTTCTACTCTTTCTGTAGACAAGCGCTAAAGTGGCGTTTGGCTAAAGGCCTTAATTTACGTCAATTCCATATAATTTGGTTTTCTGCTCTCTCTGTAGACAAGCGCTACAGTGGCGTTTGGCTAAAGGCCTTGTATACTTAAAATAGAAATTTAGAAAACCGCCATCTACATTGATATATGAAGTACTACAGCATAGTACCGTTCGCTCCACCCATGTACACCAAGCCTTAGTAGGTACTACCTACTAAGGCTTGGTGTACATGGGTGGAGGTACCTACTAGGTACTCAGTACAACTGTACAACTGTTCAATCCCAACATCGTCGGGCAAAGGATTGGTACTTTTTTTAAATATATCACATATCACATGTACTTACATTTAGTATTCTTCAAAGAATGTCTTACCTATAAGGCTGCCTGTCCATTGACGCGGAGCTCAGCGGAGCGGAGCGGACTGTCAAACTTCAGCGGTATACTATCTTCTTCTTCTCTGTCGTTTCGCTCTTGGCTGAGCGGTCGTGGTCACGTTGAGGCGGCCGTATTTGTGTTGGAGGCCGATACAGCTTTCCTCACGATCTCCCGCCATCTCTCTCTGTTTGTGTATAGTCTGTCGCAGTCTGACACTGGGTTTCCCGTTGCCGATTTGACTTGATCAGTCTAGCGCATAGGTGATCTGTCTCGTGATCTGGTTTCCTCTACTTTCCCCTGAACGACCAGTCGCTCTATGGAGTTGTTATCACGACGGGAGACATGGCCAAAGTACTGCAGTATGCGCGTCTGTACTATGGTTGATAGACGCTTCGTGATGCCGAGTTCTCGGAGTATGGATACGTTGGTGCGGAACTCAGTCCACGGTACACCAAGCATCTTCCTCATACTATACTATCCCAATATCCCATATCCCCGCGCTCCCAAGACCGCTTTCCCGCCGCCGGCTCATTCGACTGCCCAGCTTCGCCGTCTCGCACCGCTACCACGCGCCGCTTCCGAAATTGTATGAATTGCAAATCCCTTACCACTAAAGCGGAGCGGAGATTTCATGCAATCCTATTGGTTAACATTTCTCCGCTCCGCCGCCTCTCTCCGCGTCAATGGACAGGCAGCCTTATACATACTTTGTAAAGTATAATAATAAAATTCGACACTTTCCGTATACAGGTACATACTATTCAGTGACTCTGATAGTATAAAAAATACATATTTTTCTTATGGTCGGCACACGAGCAGGATCACCTGATGGTAAGCAATCAGCGCCGCCCATAGACCCGCAACACTAGAGGTGTTCCAAGTGCGTTGCTGACCTTTTAGGGATTCGAAATTATGATTCTGAAATTTAATAGGGATGATGCCAAGTCTGTGGTGACGTTTTCGGGACTTCAACTTCTATCTTTGGCGTCTTTGGGGTCAGCGGCGGATTATTTCCCATATTGTCCTTAAATATAAAATATTAGAACATTAGACAATAAATAATGAACCCGGGAGCCATTACGGAAATAAAAGCTAAAAGTACTTACCATGTAAGCTATAAATCCTATGGGCATCCTCTCTTCCCAGTCAAGATTATTCCCTTCTGGCAACTTTGTCGTCAGTATTGCCACATTATTCACATTTAATCCTTGGCTTGACGCTGTATTTGTCAGTTGTACATTGGCATCTGAAGGGAGTGGTCGAATCCCAGTCTTTGAAATACCTTGTAAAATATGATTCAAAATAATCTCTTCTTGTCCCAGAAGTAAGATGGGTGTCCCAGAATAGTTTACCAGGAAACCATCCTTAACAAAAGCTTGTAATGATGGCACTTTGAACACCCCTTCTTTTATCGTTATTGGATGGGTGGTGCAGTCCCCATTTCCACACACCATTAACACCCCCAGCCCCGTTTGCAATTCCACAGACGTCTGTAATATGTCCTCCACTGGGACAATCATCGGGGATTGTTCTTTATTCGTCTCTACAACAACTGGGGATGAAATCGGTGCTTGAGATGTAATCGTGATAGGCTCTGGGTTGATGAGCTGGGGTTGGGATGTGGTGGGGATAAATTCACGTTGTATGGGAGCGTTATTGGATGTATCGGAGATGCTTTGGGTATTAACAATCATCTTTGAGAATGTGGGAATGTTGTTTTGCGTAGAAGCGCTGAAAATGGTGGGTATGGGTGTATTTTGAGGGGCGGGCAAGGTAGTTTGGGGGGCGGACAAGGTAGTTTGGGGCAGAGGCAAGATAGTTTGGGGGGCAGGCAAGATAGTTTGTAAGGCAGATATGATATTCTGTGAGACAGGCAAGATAACAGGGATATTTTGAGTCATCTGTGGCAATGTGGGGACAACATTTTGCCCATTAACAATATTTTGACACGAGAAAGAGATTGCTGGAGATGGCATGGTGGTATTTTGAAGAGCAGGCGTGTTAGTTTGGGATGCAGTATTGGACATCTGTGGGAATGTAGGGATGGTATTTTGATGGTTAAGAGTATTTTGTAGTGAGTTGGAGATAATGGGACATAGTGTGGGGACGCTTTGAGGGGCAGTTGTGGTAATTTGGGACGTTATAGGAATGTTTTGAGGAGTAGCGCTCATCAGTGGGATTGTGAGGATAATATTTTGTGCATTAATAATATTTTGACGGGAAAAAGAGATGGCTGGGGATGATGTGGGGGCATTTTGGGTGGTAGGGGTGCTTTGTGGGGATATGGGAGTTGTTTGGGGATTAACGAGTCCCTGTGAAGGTATGGTCACATTATTTCCACATGAGCCCGTGGTGACTCGGAATGGTATAGAAACCTTTTGAGGTGCAGTTGAGATTTTCGGGGACAAAATTGGGTTATTTGATGGATTCTGTTGTGACGTAAGAATGTTATTGCTCATATTTAGGCTTGAACTGGACGTGGCTGGTGTCATTATCGGCATATTCTGCCGGGGTGGCAAGTTGCAGTTGATTGTAGAGGGTACTTTACGAGTAATTTTTCGAGTTATAAATACTTTTTGAGTATTACAAGTATTTTGACTTGAACTGGTGACATGGGGATTGATGGGGATAGTTTGGTGCTTAATGGGATTTTGTTGGGTGGTAGTAGAGATTATTTGGGATCTATTAGTACTATTTTGAACTGAATTGGTCCCTCGGGGATTAATGGGGATGGTTTGCGAATTAGTAGAATTTTGTTTTTGTTGAGTAATAGAAATTAAGTGTGGTGTAGGAATTGTAGTTTGTGTATTAATCGTATTTTTGACTGAATTGGTGGTTCGAGGATTATACGGGGTAGTTCGGGCACTAACGGAATTTTGTTGCGATGCAGCAGGCGTATTAATTTTATTTTGACAATTACGGAATGTGATTGACGATACGATGGGGTTATTCTGGTTTGTGTACGAGGTGTGTGTGGACATTGTAGACATAGCCTGGGCATTAATAGAATTTTGTGTCAATACGGTGGGGATTTGCAGATTACTATTATTTTGAGACGTGGGGATAATAGTGTGGGTGTTGACATTATTTTGGCGATTACAAGATGTGACGCTTGATACAATAGGGATACTTTGGGTTGTAGACGATATACATAAGGATGTAGAGTTGAGATGTTGGTTGAATTTGACTATAGGAATGATATTGACTAGACCACTGAGGTTCTGTGGGGTTGTAGTGGGTGTATTTTGGGTAGAAACAGAATTTTCTGTTGAAATTTTGTGGGGATTAAGGTTATTTTGAGAAGTGGGGATTAAATTTTGAAGATGAATAGTATTTTGACGATAATTAAAGCCAGCTGAAGATGTTGATGTTGTATTATTGACGAGATTGTTTCGTGGTACAGGAATATTTTGGGCGTTAATGGGGTTTTGTGGGGTTGTAGTAATATTATGGGGATTAACAGAGTTCTGTAAGGTGGGAGTGGGTAATTTTTGGCGATTAAAGTTGTTTAACGACGACGTAGGGTTTGTATTTTGGCGATGAATAGGATCCATTGATGTTGAGGAGGCGACATTTGAAATAGAATTATTTTGGGACGTAGCAATGATATTTTGTTCATTTTGGTTAGCACTGGAAGTGACGGTTGACACAATGGTGGTATTTTGTAATGTAGACGAGGTATGCGACGCTGTAACGGGGACCTTTTGTATATTAACCAGACTAGTTTTAAACATAGGAATCATCTTTTCGGGATCAATGAACTGTTCAGAAGTAGTTGGCGGTCTTTTCAGTTTAATAAGTTTGATTACAGGAATGGCTTTTTGGGGATTAGTAGTATTCTGAGCCGTGGCCCGTGTGTTTCCGGATGTAAAAGTCGTATTTGAGGAGTTCATTGAACATTGTTGAGATGATGTGGGGATTTGTGGAAAAGGATTGATTCTTGGTATTGCAGGGGTAGTTTGTTGGGACGGGACCAGGAGTGGTGTATCGATTATATTCTCTGGGATAATCTTAGGAGTAATAGTGACGTGTAGTATTTCCAAAGATGATTGGTGGCCGATTTTTCTTATTTTTACTGGTGTTTCTTCTTCTTCTTCTTCAAGGAATATTACTTTCTCTGTTATTTCTGGGTTCGGATCCCTGTAAAAAAAGTTACGATTCAATGTCATTGCTCTTCTACATAGGAATCAAGGATTATAATAATTTTACATTCGTACAGACAGTATGGTAGTAACTATCGCACTAATCGTGACTCCATGAGAAAACTTAGCATTATAAAAAAATAGCTTTTATCCGCGGCCGCGGCTTCGCTCGCGTCACAATTACACACAGCGCCATCTATACCCACACTTTTGTTTTCCCTCGGGAATATCAAATTTTTCCGGGATAAAAAGTACCCTATTATTTAATCCGGACTTCTAACTTTACGTCTGCAAAAATTCAAATCAATCGGTTTAGTAGTTACGGCGTGAAAGTGGAACAAACAAACAAACTCACTTTCCGATTTATAATGTTAGTAAGGATAGCTCAAAAACTGTTGCATTTTTTTTACCGTTGCCCCACACTAGGATTGTCTCCTGTGTCGTGTGTGCGTTTACAAACATACAAGTTCACATACACATGACACACAGACCCGGAACAACAATCTGTAGATCACACAAAGAATTGTTCCGTGCGGGAATCGAACCCGCGACACGTTGCGCGTCAGCCAGTTGCCCAGCCACCGCGCCAACCGTGCAGTCAATATATGGAAACTAACGACCCGCCCCGGCTTCGCACGAGTTGAATATGCATGTATTACACATATAAACCTTCCTTAAAAATCACTCGATCTATTAAAAAAACCGCATCAAAATCAGTTGCGTAGTTTTAAAGATCTAAGCATACATAGGGACAGACAGACGGCGGATAGCGACTTTGTTTTATACTATGTAGTGATGAACTAGCTACTCTTACACTGTTTCACCGACTGCTCGATTCCTATTGATCGTAGCGTGATATTTTATAGCACATACCATCCTTACTAATCCTTATCCTTACTAATATTATAAATCGGAAAGTGAGTTTATTTGTTTGTTCCACTTTCACGCCGTAACTACTAAACCGATTGCTTTGAATTTTTGCAGACGTAAAGTTAGAAGTCCGGATTAAATAATAGGGTACTTTTTAACCCGGAAAAAATTGATATTCCCGAGGAAAAACAAAAGTATTGGTATAGATGGCGCTGTGTGTATTGGTATATGTCACATAGGATACTTTTTATTCTTTTGTAACGCGAGCGAAGCCGCGGGTAAAAGCTAGTTCCTTTATAAATGGACTATCGAACAGAAAAGGAATTATTGAAATCGAACTGGTTCTGGAGATTTTGCGTACTCTTCAGCTACATTATATCATGAAATGTAATGAAATGAAAAGAGTTTTATTCGGCATACGGCATGAATGCAAGGAACAAAAAATAACAATACAATACAATTTGATAAAAAAACTAAAAAAAAATTAACACAAGAGACATAACATCACGCCTTTTATCCCCGAAGGGGTAGGCAGAGGTGCACATAAAAGTAACACCCACTTTTCACTATTTATGTTATGAGTCCCATGTAATAGGGGGTGAGCCTATTGCCATATACCGGGTACCATTCCAGACTCCGTGCTACTACTGAGATTTTTTTTTAAAAACCCAGTAATACTTTGCCCGACCCGGGAATCGAACCCGAGACCCCTTGCCCGGCAGTCGCACTTGCGACCACTCGGCCAACGAGACAGTCACAAATTTAACACAAGAGAGTGTGAATAAAAAGATAAAAGGTAAATTATAAAACAAGAAGATAATAAAAATAGGTAGGTATCTAATATATTTACTATATTATCTAATTCTTATATATTTACTATTCATTACACATTTCCGAACAATTATGGCTTTGAATTACAGCAATTATGTAAATTAAATGAGGAGCAACCGTTAGCTGTCTCCTTTCTTTATATATTCCTCATCTGTCAGATTTTTTTTTATTTTCTTTTACTGCATAGGCTCACCCCTATTACATGGGACTCATAACATAAATAGTGAAAAGTGGGTGTTACATTGTACAGTGGTATAATGTGCACCTCTGCCTACCCCTTCGGGGATAAAAGGCGTGATGTTATGTTATGTTCTTTTACTGCCACCCTCACTTGACCGTGATAAATATATGATTTATATTATTGTGGCTAGCCTAGTAACGCCATCTAGTAATGCACTTAAGAACCAAATATCGATCATTACAACAAGTATAGATTAGTAGAATTCACTTACTTCAACCTCTCATCCACCACCGGTCCGCAGATCACCATGCTGTTCATAGATATATCAGTTTGTGCGCCCACGGTAGCCTGTCTGACCAGACCACCGGGCCGTTTCTTAAGGAAGCTCTCCCAGTCAACACCATGTGTCAACGTCTGCTTAAACCCGTATTTGCAAGCTATAGTTTGGGTTATTTTACCTTCGGGGGTTTTTACATCAATCACCTGTGGGAAAAGTTATATAACATTTTTACGATTCACATTATTATACAATGTAACACCTAAGCCCAATTACCCTCTCCCCAAACCCCGGATCCTCCACAATCCTCAAATGGGGATGATGACAGGGTATGAAAATTAAAAATATAATTAGTCCGTAAGTTAGGTAATGAAAAAATATTAGACACGTATTTTTTTATTTTGTCGTATAATAAAACAATACTTAGATAAAACGAATCAAAGTTTAGGAGTGGGGGCTAAAACGTCATTTCTTAGTATAAAACGTACTGAGAAGTGACGTCACGCGACATTTCAAATCAATATATCTTCGAAACTATTCGTTTCTGTGAGAAAATAAAAAATACGTGTCTAATGTTTTTAAATAATCTACCAGACGGACATTAAAATAAAAATTAGTCGTCTACCCTATTCTTAATTCCCAAAAGGCCGGTAACACACTTAGAAAGAAAGAAAAACATTTATTTAGCACCCGGCACGATGCAGCATAAATAAAAAATAAAAAAAGACAATCAAGGTGTGACAGTGGAAGTAATAAAAATATAAGAGTTGAAAAATTGAAACAGAAGAATTAGAAAAGAGACGCCGACAACATGCCTATGCTAAAAGGGTCACCCACTCAGTGTAAGCCAGGCATACAGGTAACGCCTTTAATGTTCCAGGTGTCCATAAGCGGCGCTGATTGCTTACCATCAGGTGATCCGTCTGGTCGTTTACCAGTTTACCCCATAAAAAAGTATATTACGAGTCCATATTACGTGCGGGTGAATCAGCCACTTCACATTATATTTATTTTAATTTTATTTAAAACTCTAAATTGTACATACACTGTGAAATTGGTGGACTTAATGCCGTTGGCATTGTCTGACAGTCGCCCATTGGGACATTGTACTACCATTGTAGAAAGGTAAAGCTGTAGGTAGGGAGGCCCGGCTTCAAACCCTCGAACCAAGTAAGGTTGCAAGGCTTTCGGTTTTGTACATGGATTTTCTTCTATGTCGTGGGTGCGTTTACAAACACATACACATGACACCCAGACCCGGAACAACACTGTGGATCACACAAAGAGTTGTTCCGTGCGGGAATCGAACCCGCGACACGTTGCCCAGCCTCCGCGCCCACCGTGCAGCCAGTATCGGTTAGGAAATACCACCGACGATAGATCAATCTATATAGACTTACCCCGAAGTTGTCAACGACTACAGGTTTTGAAACCGCATATTCAGCGGCGTAGTGTATCTTGCGTAGTTGCTGTTCATAGTACTTTGGCGTTGCATTCTTATTCTCCTGTGGAAACAAAACAAATATATATATACCTACAACACCTACCTAAATATATACCTACTCTACACGCACTAACATGGGTCAATATGCTCCTGTGGATAGAGCTATTAAAATAATTAATAGCGCTGGACAAAAAGTATATATACACAGGTGTTGTTTTAAAACCGCGACATTTTCTAGGAGATGGTAACTCGGCTATCGATTCTGAGTCCGAATTAATAAAAAAAATTGTAAGTCTGTCCGGAAATCCGTAAGTGCGAACTACACGCCGCCGTCTTGTAACTTGCTTTATAACGCCACTTAACACACACAAACTCAAATACGTAATTGACATTATTCCTAATTCCATAAAACTCTAATAAGAAACATTACTGTCGCTTATTCAGCGCTTATTAGCGCTTATTCACAGGGGTTCTTCTTCATAAGCTGCGCGACATCGCCGCGACCGCGCACGCTGCTCATGAGGAAGAACCCCTCTGTGGTTCGAAACTAGTAGAACTTTTCTCAGTATATTCACGTGGGTAACCCGCGATTTTAGTTAATTCAGTATGTCTCACGATAGTTATTATAAAAAGGCCACTATACTATCACGCTGTCACCTATGGAGGAGGAGCTGTGAATCACTATTCGACGCGGACGAAGTCGCGGGCACAGAAAGAAAGAAGAAGAAAGAAAGAAAATGCATTTATTTGGTTATTGGCACACGAAAACAAGGATTATTAAAATAGAAATAAAAATACAGATACCTATATAAAAACAAATCATTAATAATAGACAAAGAGAAAATAAATGAACAAAAATCATTAAAGCAATCGAACAAAAATCAAGTGTGGGAGAGCCATGCTTCGGCACGAATGGGCCGGCTCGACCGGAGTGACCACCAACGAGCAGAAAACCGACGTGAAGCAACGCTTGCGTTGCGTTTCGTCGTGCAAAAGAGGTTACCGGAGGCCCAATTACCCTCCCCTTCCCCAATCTCCCCAATTCCTGAATCCCCAACGATCCTCAAACTCCTAATCCCCAAAAGGCCGGTAACGTACTTGTAACGCCTCTGGTGTTCCAGGTGTCCATGGGCGACGATTGCTTACCATCAGGTGATCCGTCTGCTCGTTTACCGGCCTATGCCATAAAAAAAATATATACACTACAATAATAACCGAGACCAACAACAAATTACAGCTAGTATTTAATAGAATAATGACACCAACGTACCACATCACAACTCCATAGAATATTTCGGAACTGCCTCTCACTGAATACATTGGCTACCTTCCGTTTCTTCTGATACAAGAGCTCTGCAAAGATAGTATCAACCGAAGCCGACAGCCTGGTCGCTGTGTAGAACCGAAGCGCAATATATGCTTGCCTTTCACAGTAATTGCAAATGTAATTGTGCTGTAAAAGAATTTAGAAAGCGGTATAGCCTGACCAGCTCAGCAGAGGTGCACATTACGGCACTTAATGCCACTGTACAATGTAACACCCACTTTTCACTATTTATGTTACGAGTCCATGTAGTAGTGAGCCTATTGCCACATACCGGGCACAATTCCAACCTCTGTGCTACTACTGAGATTTTTTTTTCAAAACCCAGTAGTACTTTGCCTGACCCGGGAATCGAACCCGAGACCCCTTGGCCAGTAGTTGCACTTGAGATGCAACCAGCTTAGCAATGTAGCAAAATAAAACACCCTAACTCTTCTCATGGGTGTGGTGAGAGATAATTATGAGATTACATATTTGACTGGACAGCAATACTGTTTAATAATAATCTGTTATGTTCAACAGTAGCCAAATGTGATCATTACAGCATTCTTTATTTAACCCATGATCCCCAAGCGATCACAGGTGAACGCTCTCTCCTAATATTACATTACAATATAGACCTTATTTCCAATGTTTAGAGACTACTTTTGTATGACCAAATTTAGGGGATGGATTTCAACGGGTTAAAGATAACAAGAAAACTTGAGTAAATCTTGTCTAGCGTAGCTTAGCTTTAAATTAAATAAGTTTAATATATTAGTTCTGAATGGAAATCAAATTACAACTAAATAATCATAATTTTAATACTTTAAATCAAGCATTTGCTTCTGTAATAATTATATTTTATTTGCAAATAAAACTATATTAATAACAGTCCGTCGCCATCGCAATATTATGTGCAATAACAGATAAAAAATTCGCTCTATATATTTAACTTTTTTTAAATTTTTTTTTAAATATTTTTTTATATCGTGAGATATTAAGTTTATTAATATTATGTTCGCTAAACGGTTACATAAGTTAGCATTTTTTTTGTACAATAACTTATTATAAAAAAAATAATAGTTACCTTCCAGTATTTATCAATTTTCACAGCCCGCGCGAATCGCGTGAAGTACTGAGGTCGCACTAATAATCTTTCATTTTCAGTCCTTAGACACACAATACAATAATTTACCGCGCCTCCCTCTAAGATTGAAAAAAACTTTTCTAAAATAGGTATTTCAGAAAAAAATATAGCATCGTCTATGTCACACATCTTTATAAGATTAATAAGAGATCTTCTTCTATTACATTTTTTAAACTTTTCTGTTATAAACTTCCTAATTTAGTTTTGTTTTTGTTTAGTTCAAATTCAAAACAAACAAAATAAGATTTATGGCCGAAAATGTCAAGAAGTTGAAATGACGTTAGTAATAGTGCTGTGAAATAACTTTTACTTAGTCGAATTTATATTTATTATGAGTTTTTAATTTATGTTATCGATTGTATTAATAATCTTTATGTAACAGTATTTTTTAAATTTATAGTTGTATAAGAATCTAAAAACTTGAATTTAACATTATACCTTATATTCTTTGAAGGAGTAGGCAAAAATCAATTAAATATTATATTATAAACCTTGGTTTACGGTAACCATTATTAGACTGAGAGAGCGTTACTTCGGCAAGAAAGGGCCTGTTCGACCAGAGTGATAATTATTACGTCCTCCCAGGAAACCGTCGTGAAACAACACTTACCATGTCGTGTGAGTGAGGTTATTGAAAGCCCAATTAACTCCCCCTCCCCCCTCACACCAATCACCGAATCCCCAATGATCCTCAAATTTCTAATCCCCTAAAGACTGGTAACGCACTTGTAACTTGCACTCTTTAGTGTTTTGGGTGTACATGGGCGGCACCGCTTGCTTACCATCACAGGTGATCCATCTGCTCGTTTACCGGCTAATTCCATAAAAAAATGTTACTAAATTTTTAAAAACATCAGCTTATTTTCCAATCTCTATGATATCACAAAGATCTTTCGTACGATTGAAATAATAAACCAACAATTTGAATTTTAAATTAAATTTAAGTAATTCGGAAGAAGCCTATGTTTGTCTGTCGTACTTTCGATTACTTCACTGAAGAAGAAACTGACCAGTCATGTATAAAAAACATCAAAAGTACTACAATTTCTAATCGATAAGCTGGAATAGTCGATATTATCTATCGATAATTTTAGTTATAATTATTCATGTTGATACAAACACTATCAATAAAACTTACTAAATCGATAATGTGCAACGCTAATAAAATATGTATACTACACTATGCCAGTCGTTCGTCAACCTGTTTCAAACTGTCAAAATCATTCATTACATTTTCAATTCAATGTACTTGGAATAAAGCTATAAATCAATTGATAGAAATGAGGTGGTTTTGTTGCTGTTGTATTACTAAGCGTAAAAAAATATTAAACATGAAGTTGCGTACAGATGACTGCGCAGTAGATAAAATAAGGTGTCACAGGGGTGCGGGAGGGTGACGGGGAAGGTGGCTCTAGCTCCGCTCATATCGCTCTACTCAGTAGTTTTGCGGTTTACAGCGGTTTTTAACCGCTTGACTCATTTGAGGTTATAACAAAGATTACGAGTTATTGTTATAAATTATAACAAAAAATATAATAAATTAGTATAGGTACATTGTAAAATAAAGTAAAACGAATACAAATGGCCACTCTTGTTAGTTTTTCGAATAATTATAACCGTGAAATATTACAAAATCGTCCACTTTGTACCTAACTGAGTAGATGCGCATGCGTGTGAGTAAACCGCAAAAACAAACCGCTAGTTGGTCAGAATTGGTTTCTTTTCCTTGTTCAGTATTCAGTCGATCGTTACGAAGTACAGTCGTGTCGTATTCTCGCTTAATATACATTATAAAATTATGTCTTCAAGCGAGTCTGAATCAGTATCAAATGCAGAGTACGAGTGTTTATCACAAAAGATTATAATGGAAGTGCAAAAAAGGCCGCCATTATACGAGAAGTTGCGTTCGCAAGGTGAAAGGAATATAAAAAATATGCTTTGGGAGGAAGTCTATCAAAACCTTGTAAATAATTGGACGAAACTATCGGAAGAGGAGAAACAAAGGAAAGGTGAGGTTTTATTCATAATTATTATTTACTAGCTTTTACCCGCGGCTTCGCTCGCGTCACAAAAGGATAAAAAGTAGCCTTTGTGACATATACCAATACATACAGCGCCATCTATACCAATACTTTTGTTTTCCCTCGGGAATATCAAATTTTTTCGGGATAAAAAGTACCCTATTATTTAATCCAGACTTCTAACTTTACGTCTGCAAAAATTCAATTCAATCGGTTTAGTACCTAGCTACGACGTGAAGGTGGAACAAACAAACAAACAAACAAACTCACTTTCAGATTTATAATATTAGTAAGGATAGTAAGGATTCATACTTTCTTGTGTTACATTTTTTTTTTAGTTTTTTTTTATCAAATTGTATTGTATTGCTACTTTTTATTCCTTGCATTCATGCCGTATATTTATTTTGCTGCTCGCACTGTGCATTTGACTGCCTCGTTGGCTGAGTAGTCGCACTCGCAGGTGCGACTGCCGAGCAAGGGGTCTCGGGTTCGATTCCTGGGTCGGGCAAAGTATTAATGGGTTTTTAAAAAAAAATCTCAGTAGTAGCACGGAGTCTGGAATTGTGCCCAGTATATGGCAATAGGCTCACCCCCTATCACATGGGACTCATATCATAAATAGTGAAAAGTGGGTGTTACATTGTACAGTGGCATAATGTGCACCTCTGTCTATAAAAGGCATGATGTTATGTTATTATTTATTTATTAAAAATTAATACATAAAGCTACCTAAGCTACTACTACAGTTTGTATTTTAAAGTAAGTAAAACTCTTTATTTTGAGTAAACTATGAAACACAAGGATACTTAAACTGAACGTGAAATTAGGGTTGCCAACTTTTTTTAGAAGACATAACGTATCTGATATCAGACTCATCAATCGAGAATAAGACTTACAAAAAAGAGTAGCATTTATATTGTGCCTTAAAAAATTTTGTTTTTCATACTTTTTGCAGCTTATAACCATTTTTGTTCATTATTCACTACATAGTAGGTATAAAAAAGTCGTTATCCGCTGTCTGTCTGTCCCTATGTATGCATAGATCTTTAAAACTATGCAACGGATTTTGATGCGGTTTTTTTAATAGATAGAGTGATTATTAAGGAAGGTTTATATGTATTATACATGCATATTGCACCCGTGCGAAGCCGGAGCAGGCGCTAGTTTAAAATAAAAATAAAATCAGTATGTTTATAATTATTGTACATACTAGGTTAGCCGATAACTCGATAGGCTGGTTATTGTATGCATTACCTTAACATGCAAATAAAGAGTTTGAGTTTGTACTATGTCTATACCAAATTTCATTCGATTTGGTCTAGTACTTTTCATAACAGAGTGGTATTTCAATTTATCAGATTAGTTTTAAAAAAATATTACGCCGAAATGAACTAAACTATTTATGTGATATTTTAAATGATCACTTACCTATGTATTAACTTTAAATAGTAGACCTTTTATTCTGATCGTGGGTTTTGCATATTATTACAGCCTGTCTGTAGTGCGACTGCCGGACAAGGGATCTTGGGTTTCATATCTGTGTCGGGCAAAGTATTACCGGGTATTTTTTGAAAATCTCATTATTAGCAGGGAGTCTGAAATTGTGCTCAGTATATGGCAATAGGCTCACCCCCTATTCCATGGGACTCATAACATAAATAGTGAAAAGCGGGTGTTACATTGTACAGTGGCATTAAGAGCCGTAATGTGCACATCTGCCTACTTCTTTGGGAATAAAAGGCGTGATGTTATGTTATGTTAAAAACCAGTTGTTCTGAAATAACTAGCGCGTTCAAATAAAACAAAAATCATACTTAAATCCTTCGTAGTTACACTCTATTTAATAATTTATTTAATAATTTATGTACATACAGACAGCACAGAGGATAACACATATATAAAATAAGAGTACAAAGGTGCTACTTATTCCTGTTGGAATTTCTTCCAGTAGACCTGAGACAGGAAATCTAATTAAAACAAAAGACACAGTGTGTAACAGAAAAATAAGAAATATGTATAAAAAAAAACTACTCTACTTATGCAACGACCTCATACTATTTCTATTTTGTAGTATATTAATTTAATTTACCTCTTCTTACAGGTGCGATAATACAAAAGAAATGGAAGAATATACGCGACTGTTTTGCCAAAGAGTTGGCAATGCGACGCCGGAAATCTGGGCACGGCATTATAAAGAAGAAAAAATACATTCATTACGATTCCCTACAGTTTTTGATACCATCTTTACAAAAGAGGGAACGTAGGAACAGCAGAAATATTGATTTGACGTCACAAAACAGTACTGATGTTGAATTATCTCAAGATATTTCTCAAACAAACGGGAATACAATATCACCGTGCAAAAATACACCCAAAAAACAAACTCATATTGAAGAAAATAGTGAATACGACGAAGATGTAAACTTCTCAAAAATGCTCGTCCCAATGCTACGGAAACTTAACGATGACCAGAAACATTATGCCAAGATAGAAATCTTGAATATTTTGCACAAAGCCAAATCTTTTAACCCGGTAGAGCCGAAGAGTTATGTGCAGCTTGAGTGGAGCGGCTCTATCGCAGAAGTACCAGTCAATGTAAAACAAGAAACGTCGAAATAATGTTATAGTTTCATATGTAAAATACATCGTGGCAGGTTCAAAAGGAGATGGCGGGACGAACTGGATATCTATGACAAGGATTGGCCGCAAAAAGGTGTGGAAGGAGGGTAGCTCTTGTCCCTGCAGTGGGATGATCATGGCTGAAAATAAATAAATGGTGAAATGAGAGTTCAAAATTACCAGTCCTCTGTTTGATTGCACTGAGCACGGGATGCGGACGACCTTACCGGTTACTGGGACTCCGGCTTGACGCGGGAGTAGGAACGGGGTGGTTTTTAGTCAGTAAGATATTAATTTTCTGACGCAGACTAGATGGTCTGATACTCCCTCTCGTCTCATCCAAGGCAGGAGAATTCGTTTGATGATTTTACCAATCACAAGCAAGTAGCGTTATTATTTTCGGAGAGATCTCCTTCCCAGTAACGATGAATCAAACAGGTTTTCTGATAAATTTGACACTAATGGAAGTAACGAGGAAAGGAGGCTTAA